ATTCAAACTTTTGTCGCACACTCCCCCTCAATTTCTTTTTTCTCTTCTCTTTCTTTCCCTTGTTGAGCAGCAGCTGGTAGAGCAAGCTGCGGTTCTCTTAGATCCTAAAACCTGAGTGACTTCTGCTCAGTGCATGCCGTTTCCTCAGCCCTCCAAACTTAAATTCATCCAAACCCCAAATCTTCCGTGCATGCCATTTTTCTAAATGGTCAAGATTAATGGAAAACAGAAAACTATCGTAGGACCTGTGAGTTACCTCCCATTTAGAAAAGAAAAACAAGGGCGCCTGGGTGGCTCAGTCAGTTAAGCGTCTGCCTTCGGCTCGGGTCATGATCCCAGGGTCCTGGGATCAAGCCCCGCATCGGGCCCCCTGCTCCGTGGGAAGCCGGCTTCTCCCTCTCCCACTCCCCCTGCTTGTGTTCCCTCTCTCGCTGTTTCTCTGTCAAATAAATAAAATATAAAAAAAATTAAAAAGAAAAACAAACATTTAGTATCTTTAACAGTTATATAGAATAAAAGTATGTCCCAAGAAGGCAGTACCTTGTACAAAGTTATTACCAATCTCCAAGATATCTGGGGAAGAGGAAGGTAGAATGGAAAAGCTAGCCATATGTTCAGTGATCATACTCTGTGACTCAGTTGTAAAGTTAGCAACAAGCTAATTGTAGCTCTTGCTTACCATGTTTTTGAAGAACGTCCATCTAAGCATATTAACTCCCATCTCAGATGGGAAGCTCAGATACATTCCTGTCTTCCTGAAAAGTTTAGAAATTTGCCATACTGTCACCCTCAGTCACTAGGCTAGTTGGAGTTCCTCCTTTTAAACAGTTTATTGAAGTGTAATTGACAAGCCATAAACACATATTTAAAGTGTGCAGTTTCATAAGTTATAACATATACATCCGCCTGGAAAACAATCTTCACAAATAAGATAATTAACATACCCACCACTCAGGAAAGTTTCCTTGTGGCCCTCCCTAATCCTTCCCACTCCTCCATTCCCACTCCCTTCCCAGGCAACCACACATTTTCTTTCTGTCTTTTTAACTTAGTTTGCATTTGCTAGAACTTTACACAAATGTAACCATACAATATGTACTCTTTTCTCTGTGTGGCTTTTGCGCAACATAATAATTTTGACATTCATCCACATTTCTGCATGTGGCAATAGTTCATTCCCTATTTACTGCTATGTCGTATTCCATTGTATGGATATAGCATTATTTGACTATCCATTCATCTGTTGATAGACATTTGAGTTGTTTCCAATTTAGCTATTACAAATAAAGCTACTATGAATATTTGTGCACAAGTTTTTGTATGGATATATATTTCATTTCTCTTGAATAAATACTTTAAAGTGGAATGGCTAGATCATATAGTAAATATATGCTTAAGTTTTTAAGAAACTGCCAAAATGTTCTCCAAATTAGTTGTACCATTTTATATTTCCACCGTCACTGGGTAGGACTTCTAGTTGCTCTGTATCCTTGCCAACACTTGGAAGGGTCAATCATTTATTTTATTTATTTATTTATTTATTTATTTATTTATTTATTTATTTATTTATTTAAAGAGAGAGAACGAGAGAGAGAGCAGGGGGAGAGAGAATCTTAAGCAGGATCCATGCCCAGAGCAGAGCCTGATGCAAGGCTTGATCTCTCGACCCTGAGATCATGACCTGAGCTGAAATCAAGAGTCAGGGGGCGCCTGGGTGGCTCAGTCGTTAAGCGTCTGCCTTCGGCTCAGGTCATGATCCCAGGGTCCTGGGATCGAGCCCCGCATCGGGCTCCCTGCTCCGCGGGAAGCCTGCTTCTCCCTCTCCCACTCCGCCTGCTTGTGTTCCCTCTCTCACTGTGTCTCTCTCTGTCAAATAAATAAAATCTTTAAAAAAAAAAAAAAAGAAATCAAGAGTCGGATACTTAACTAATGAGCCACCAGGCACCCCTGGAAGGATCAGTCTTTTAAATTGTAGCTGTGCTAATAGATATGTAGCATTCATAATGGCCCATTCAAGCATTTTTTATGATGGTGGCTTTAAAAATCCTTATCAGATAATTCCAACATCTGAGTACTCTTGATGTTGGCATCTGATGATGATCTTTTCTCATTCAAGTTGTGATTATCCTGGCTGTTAGTATGATGAATGATTTTCTGTCATTTACTGGACATTCTAGGTGTTATGTTCTGGGACTCTGGGTCTTATTTTACCTTGGTTCTTTTTAGCAGGCAATCACCTTGTTTAGGTGTGGCATGCAGATCTAGGTGGGGTGTATATTTAGTTGTCTTGGGGGCCCTACTGATGCCAGCCTGGTGACCATGGAGCACCAACTCTCACTGTCTCATTGCCACTGGGTGAAGGTGGAAGTTCAGCTCCACACTTTGCCCTACTGACACCAGGGGCAGGGAAGCACAGTGCCAACTAGCATTTCTTCACTTCACCTTGTCTGCCATGTTGCTTCCAGGGAGGAGTGGAAGCTCAGATCCCTCCTGGAGTTAGTTTTATCTTAATCCATGTATATGTTACTTTGAATTCTTTACATACTACAAAGAACCAAGTAGATATCTTCCAAGTGGAAATATTCTTTGAAACCACCCAGTAGATGGGATAAATAATAGAATGGATACCACTTTAGAGCAAATAGTAAGCTAAAAAATTATTCTAGAATTCAGGTTCTGTCCCTCAACTCTATAGTGTTGTTTAGAATTCTCTTTACCCTGTTATAATTAATAATTCTTTACAATAACTTTCCCTGTTCAAATTAAATCCTGTGTGTTTCTTTCTCCTCATTGCATTCTGACTGATACACTAATAATTCCTGATGAATCAGTTTTGACATTCTTTTTTGTGTAATAAAAAGAACGCTAGAATTTCAATGGCTTGATACGAAAGTTTATTTTGAACTCATCTGAAGTACAGTCAGTTTGAGTACAGTACAGTTTGGGAGCAGCCTTCCATACTGCTGTCGTTTAAGCAGTGACTCTAGAATCAAGGTCCCTTTCAACACCCTATAATGGGGTGCTTTATGTCCAGGCATGGAAGTGTTAAACATTTTTGCTGCCCAAATTCCAATGTCCACAACCTACTCAGGGAATTTAGGAAACAAAGTCTTCAGGAAGAGAAAATGGGGTGGTGAGCAACTAGCTAGACTCCCATTTTTCCGATGTATTTAATTACATTAATTTTAGACATCAGTGAACTGTGTTTATATTTTTGTAATTATGTAAGTTTTTTCCTTGTTTCTCCCTTCCTTCCTTTCTTATTTTTCACACCTGCTTATTTTTTGTCAATAAATAATTATTGAGAACCACTGGTGTCTAGGCACTGTTCCAGGTTCTAGGAACATAGCAGTGACCAGAACAAGAAATCAAGATTCCTGTTTTGTTGTGCATGAACTCTAGCAGAAAGACCCAGAAACACATAACAAAATAAATACATATACATACAGCTCTAGACAGTGGAAAGTTCTGTGAGAGAAAACAATGTGAAAGTGCAAGATGGTAAGGAGGAGGAAGATAGTTAGATTAAAAGGTCAGAGAAGGTGCTTCTTAAACAGTTTCATTTGAGCTGAATCCAGAATGACAAGAAGGATCCCCCTGTATGATTATTTTAGTGATAATCTCTGGCTCTGGCTCATTCAACCCTCTGCCTCTTTTGCAGCTACACCTGTGCAGCAGAACACACCTAGAGAAAAACGTTCCATCATGCTGACAGTTCTCACTTGAAACACTAGACCATACACCTCAAGGGGGCCCTAATGAAGCACAGTAATCACAGTGGTTCTCAAAATGTGGTCCCCAGATGGGCTGCATCAGTATCACCTGGGGGCTTGCTAGAAATGCAGCTTCTCAGGCCTAGCCCCAGACCCACTGAGTCAGAAACTCTGGGGAGGAGCAAGTCTTTGTTTCAACAAGACCTCCGGGTGCTGCTGATGTGCACTGAAGCCTGAGTCACTGCCCTAGTTCCACTGGGCTGCTCCTAGGTGACTGCTTCCCCCGCGTCTCCTCTCTACTGAAACCTTCCCCAACCTCACCCTCAGCAGATGACCTAACATATTCTCTTGAAGAAAACAAAGCAACTGGAGGTGAATTGCAGACTCTCCCACAACCACATTTCCTCACCTCCTGGCGCCTGTACTAGAATTCTCCATCTTCCCACCTGTTTTTGTATGCTCTTATCTATGACTGATCCTTCCACTTCCCCTCTGGTTCTTGTCCCCTCTTGCCTGTTCAAGGACATCGCTCTACCAGTTTCCCCTCCCTCCTAAATCACTTTCCCTCTCAACAGTGTTATTTCCATTACATTCCTGTGGCATATACCTGTCCCTTTCTACTTTATTTTCATGTGCTTAAGTTTTTAAGTCAAATGCAGAATCATCACGTCCCACTCCCAGATATTTCAGTGTAAATATTTTAGAAACAGAATATTTTTAGACCTAACCAAAATAAGATTATTACAGTGAACAAAATGAATAATAATTCCTTAAATCTAATATGCGGTTCATAATCAGATTTCTTCCATTCCTCAAAAGTCCATACAATTGTTTTTCAAAGTCAAGATCCATTCCAGGACCTGGTGGTTTATCCCTTGATTTCTTTCTTTATTTTTTTAAAGCTTATTTATTTCTAATCTCTGTACGCAACATGGGGCTTGAACTGACGACCCTGAGATCAAGAGTCACATGCTCCACCAACTGAGCCAGCCAGGTGCCCCAATACCTTGATTTCTTTAAATCCAGGCTAGTCCTTCCTTTTCCGTATCCTTTTTAGTGGAAAAGTTAGGGCCAGTTATCCTGTCAAATGTCCCACCTTCTGGATTTTTTCTGCTAGCTTACTGATGGTGACATTTAGTTAGTCCTTTATTTCTTGTATTCCCTATAAAAATAAATTATGAGTTAAAGACTTGATAGATTTAACTTAAGCATTTGGAAAGGGATGTTGTAAATTCTATTTGCAGCACATTTGGAGTATCAGTATCTGATTATTTACCATCAGTGACCATGACCATGTGTTACCACTGGGTAAGGTTATACAAGCGTGATCCCTCCACAGCAGTTATGTTTTCCCCTTGGGATCGGAAAGGAATCTAGTGGTATCATTTTGGCCTTGTATGAATTCCAGAAATCCCCATTAGCCATTCTCCTAATGATTTTAACACAGCTGGTGATGATTTCCTGTATCAATCGTTTTATAAATGTTACAAAAGGGTGATTTTCTTTCTTTTTAAATTTTTTTGCTGGGGGGGGAGGGCACAGGGAAAGAGAGACTCTTAAGCAGGCTCCCTGCCCCCCAGCCAGCTCGGAGCCAGACTGGACTTGACCTCACAACTCTGAGATCATGACCTGAGCTGAAATCAAGAGTCAGACGCCTAACCAACCGAGCCATCCAAGCACCCCACAAAAGAGTGATTTTCTAACTCCATTGTTCTTTCTACAGTTATCAGCTGGCCTTTTATAAAAATAATGCTTCCTCTCATTAACGGGAGCTAATAGGTTAGTTGAAAGATAACTTCTCCTGGAAAGGCAAGAAAATATTCAACTGTTTCCCTTTAATGAGCAATTTGCAAAGAAAAGAGCCGGTTTAAAATGGTAGCAAATGACCATCTTTTTTTGGTATCATTGTATGATACATAGATTTTTATCAATTTGATGTGGTTGAGCCAATCTTTTATAAAAATTATCATTTTCTCTAATTATTCCCTCTCATTCTTTTCTCTGATATTCAAATTTCCACAATCTCTGCCAAATTGACTCCTGTGTCCTTTCTGACATACCTCCAACACTAGAAAGCTTCCTTGATTTCTGGCACAAGGTATCCCAGGCTCACTTTGTACTATTTTGCTCCTGACCTAGAATTTGTTGATTCTCCAAGAATTCATGGAATTAGAAATGAATAGAATGAAATTAGAAATGAATATCTGGTCACTGTAGTGCTCATGATTATTGGGGTAACATTGTTTCTAGGTTATTTAAAAGACAGAAGAGAATACAGATTGATGACAGATACACAGATAGACTAAAAATCACGAATTCATCTTGATACTTCAGATTTATTTTAGAGTTAGTGGTTTATCTTCTTATTTGAGTTTATATTTGCATTTCATTTCTCTTACATGGAAAATCTAACAATACAAACACAATTACTTTCATGCATTGTTGGTGGGAATGCAAACTGGTGCAGCCACTTTGGAAAACAGTATCGTTACCAGAGGGGACGGGGTGGGGAGGTGGGTGAAATAGGTGATGGGGATTAAGGAGCACCCTTGCTGTGATGCACCCCAGCTGATGTATGGAATTGTTGGATCACTATATTGTACACCTGAAACCAATATAACACTCTGTTAACTGGGATTAAAATAAAAACTTTTTTTAAAAAACTCACAATTACTTGCTATATTCTATCATACTAAAAAAAGTAATTTCAAAGTAACAATACCACTATTAAAGATAACAATAAAACCACTGAATGAAGTTAAAGATCTGTATAGATGACCAGGGTTGTATCAAAAGGACTCAGAAGCCAATCTGAAGAGGTTTCCACTGGAACAAAAAATAAAAAATAAAAAAGGACATTTGATTATCAACAAGGAAAAAAACTGCTGCACCGGATTGAAACACAACAGACCTGTTTAAATCCACAAACGTATGATAACACTTTGTAGAATTTTAAGCAATCAGCTCATTATTTTAAAAACTGTTAAGTAAAGGAAAAGAATCAAGTTTTTGTCCTCTTTCCTATATAACCAAATGGTTGGCAAGGGGAAATTTCTCTCTATAACAATACTCCAGCTAATAAATACAGAAGGAATGATAACACTAGAATATCATCATTTCATAACTCCTTATGAATTAATAGAATTAGTCAGTAATCATCAATAGCTGCTCATATCACAAAAAGTAGAGATATCCAGACAGTATGGTTCCTGATGGAAGCACAGTTATTCCTTATGAAGCTTTGCCCCTCACAATGGAATCTGAATTTGATCAAGCCTGTAGATCTAATTACTAATTTATAGGAAATACAGAGTTGAAAGAAAATGTTAAACAGTATTGATGTGAAAAGCCAGACCATAGGAAGCTCTACAGAAAAAAACAATCTGGTTTCTTCAACAAATAATTGCAAATGGGGAGGTGGGGCACGTGGAGGAAGGGGGCTGATAGACTGAAAAAGATGTGAGACATGGCCACCAGTCACGGAGTGTGAACTCTGTATGATTTGAACCAACCGTAATATTCTTTTGTAAACTTTTTTTGTCCTTAGAATGCATCCCCCTAACCAAGTACAAAGAACTGAATAAATTCGTTCTCTTTGTGGTTGTTAATAATTTGATAAATATTTTGAGTTGTTCATTATGTTCCCAATTTCAGGGACTGCACTTTTTAGATTTAAATTTTTAATAGGTATTGCATATACATGAAGCAAAAGGCAAAACTGTACAGAAAATTATGCAAAGAGAAGTCTTGTTTCCATTCCTGCCCTTCAAACTCCATTCCCCTTCCATCTATAGGCCACTATTTTGTTTATTTATGCATCAGATACTTTTTTTTAAAAGATTTTATTTATTTATTTATTTGAGAGAGAGAATGAGAGAGAGCATGAGAGGGGGGAGGCTCAGAGGGAGAAGCAGACTCCCCGCCGAGCAGGGAGCCCGATGCGGGACTCGATCCCAGGACTCCAGGATCATGACCTGAGCTGAAGGCAGTTGCTTAACCAACTAAGCCACCCAGGCGCCCCTGCATCAGATACTTTTTACAAGTACAAGGACTTACAAATATAAGGATTTAAATGTATATGTATGCATGTACATATACAAATATAAGCATTTGTACAAATATAAGGAATTTTTACAAATATAAGGATTTAAATGCATATGTATGCATGTACATATATAAAAATGGATGTACATAATTTTACTTAAAATTTTATTAGAAAATATAATAAAACAGAAAATGCATAAAACAGTTTAACAAATTGTTATAAAATCATTCATATAGCTCTCACCCAAAATAAGAAAGAGAACAAGATCCTCACTCCAGAAGCCCCTGACACCTTGTCTCTCCCGAGTGGTAGCCCCTCCTTCTCTCCTGTTATTCTAGATGTACTCATTATTCTAACTTTTATAATATTTTTGCCCTTGTCTTTCTTAATGGTTTTTCCAACTTATAACAGTACATGTGCATTTTGCCTGATTTTCAACTTCATGTAAATGAAAACATTATGAATTCTGTTTTGTCTGGCTTCTTATGCTCAATAAAGTATTTAAGATTCATCCATATTGTTCGTGTAATTGCAATTGATCCATTTCCACTGTTATATGATGTTTCATTGTATGATTATATCACACTATATTTTTACTTTCCACTGTCGATGGGCTATTACGAAAAATTGCTGTATTCTTGTGCCTGTAACTTGACAGCCTACATGGACAGATGTTTCTGTATGGTGTCCCCTGGTGGTGGCTTTGCTGATCGGAGAGTAGATGTATCTTTTGACTTATTGGAGTCTGCCAATTTTTCAAAAGTGGTTTTACCTGTTTACTCTCTCACAAGCAGCTTCTTGTTGTTCCACATTCTTGCCAGCATTTGATATTATCATCTTTAAAGATCTTATCATTTTTAAATATTTGGCAAAATTTGTGGGTCTGTAGTAGTGACTTATGTGGTTTTAATTTGAATTTCTCTGGATTACTTATGAAAGAACATTAAAAAAAAAGTTTGGGATGTTTGGATACCTGATTGACCTGGCACATTAAATGAGAAGTCCATCCATTCCCCATAGCTCTGCAGTGCATCTTCCTCATAAATCAGGTGTCAGTTTATCGGTTTGTTCTGGGGCTGTCTATTTTGTTTGGTGAGTCTGTCTGTCTAAACCAGCACCAATAGCACCCAGTCTTCATTACTATAGTTCTGTATTAATTCTACATTTCTGGTGGACAAGACCTACACTTTTGTTCTTCTTTAAAATTAGGGCCTGGGCAGGGGCGCCTGGGTGGCTCAGTTGGTTAAGCAACTGCCTTCAGCTCAGGTCATGATCCTGGAGTCCTGGGATCGAGTCCTGCATCGAGCTCCCTGCTCACTGGGGAGTCTGCTTCTGCCTCTGACCCTTCCCCTCCACGTGCTCTCTCTCTCTCTCATTCTCTCTTTCTCAAATAAATAAAGTCTTTAAAAAATAAAATAAAAGGGCCTGGGCAATTTTTTTTTTTTTTGGCCTTTTGGGCTTCCATAGAAATCTTTTAACTAATTTATGAAATTGAAATAAAAATTTCCTGTTGGGGGCACCTGGGTGGCTCAGATGGTTAAGCCTCTGCCTTCGGCTCAGGTCATGATCCCAGGGTCCTGGGATCGAGTCCCGCGTCGGGCTCCCTGCTCCTTGGGAGCCTGTTTCTCCCTCTGCTTCTCTCTCTCTCTCTCTCTCTGTCTCTGTCTTTCATGAATAAATAAAAAAATCTTTAAAAAAAATTTCCTGTTGGATTATTTTGTGACTAGATTGAATAATTGTGATTATATTGTGATTGTATTGAATAATTGTGATTATACTGAATTTGTAGTTGATTTGGTTTCAACTGAGATATAATGAACATCTTTCCATTAATACTAGTTTTGTCATTGATTTCTAATGGAATCGCATTGTAACCAGAGAATGTATTTCATATAATTTAAATCTTTGGAGATTTGGTGAGCCTTGCTTTTTGGCCCAGTATACAATCTGTTTTTGTAAATGTTCCACATGCAGATTCTGCAATCGATCGTTTTGTTGTTGTTGTTTTTTTTAAGATTTCATTTATTTATTTCACAGAGATAGCGAGAGCAGGAACACAAGCAGGGGAGTGGGAGAGGGAGAAGCAGGCTTCCTGCTGAGCAGGGAGCCCGATGTGGGGCTCGATCCCAGGACCCTGGGATTGTGACCTGAGCTGAAGGCAGACGCTTAATGACTGAGCCATCCAGGCGCCCCTGCAATCGACAGTTTTATTGTCTAAGTAGGACTGGTTAGTTTTGGGGGTTTTTTTAAATTTTTTTTTTAA